TCAGGAGAGAGTCGTAGACAATCAATTTTTACACACAAAAATCATTAGAAGAAACTGAAGAAAGGGACCGAGTGAACATAATCTCAAATTAAAGCCTAATAGTAAAATTTTAGAACATTATTCTACAAATATCATAAATATAAATTAATTGTAATGTTGTCCACCCTACATTTAAAAGCAGATGTTTTGGTATCTTACAGGCATTAAACACAACCAAGAGCAAGAAGAGTCAAAGGGCTTAACTAAAAAATAACCTACATTATTGAAAAGAGGGTTTACTACAGGAAGTTTTTAGCAAAAAGTAGTTACAAATCATTTTCTAGCAGAGACATACAATGTATATTTATATCGGAAATGAAAATAGCTATTTGTGCATTAAGAGCGAAAAGTGATAATTTACCGCTTGAGACAAAAAGTAGCCGCGTGACGCGTAGCGGAGCCCGGCCATTTGTCGGCATCGAAATTTTCGCTCAAAATGCACACAAGATTTTTTCTACGATCACATTATTTTTAGAAATTGATATAAAAACTGGAAAGTTATCATAAATAGTGTATAATGTGTAGCCTATATCTACGTTATTCATGAAAAAAGGAGTTTGATATTTAAAGTCACTGTTAACTTGGATAATAAAAGAAAAAACATCAAACTAGGTTCAAATAACTTCAAAATCATTTATTAAAAAGAAATATTATTATATCTAATTTAAATTAGGCGTGTGACAAAACTGTCAAGTTTTCCACTTGGAGATAGACAAAGCTGTCACTTAATGTCAGTTCGCGGAAAACGTCAACTTTGCGGTTGAATTTCGAAGCGCAAAAGCCTACTTTGGATAGTGATCGTAGAAAAATATTTTTTGTCAGTCTTTAGTTATTTGATGTATGAACAGTATAATTTACTTAAAAAAAAAACAATACAACAACAACAACGACCCAGTTTTATTACAATAATCTATAAATAGATACCAAATTAGAGAAAATAAGTTTTATTATCTATTTATTTATATACATATAATACATAGAGGAGCAAGTGCGTAGCTAGGTTGTTTTCTTGGGGGGGGTAATACTTTTCACATTATTGGTGAATGCGCAGCGTGTTATCATAGAATATGGTACCAATGCAACGTCTAGAGTTCATATGTGTATTTCCAGAAAAAAAAAATTTTATAATGAAGTTTTTAATTTTTTATGTATTCATACAGGGAGTTTCAGAATAAAGTACCGTTATTTTGAGGATTTGTAGATCTTAATCAATTATAAAGAAAAGGTGATAAAGTGAATTTCATAAATACATATTTTCTAAATATCTTTCCTTACAGTAAAGACTTTAACTTAAAAATATGTATATGCTAGGTAATTGTCATTATTAGTTAACACACTATTTCAAAAAATTACCATAACCCATTGACGTAGAATGAAGGGCTAAAGAAACAATTTTATTCAAAACTTTTTGAACATCCTACATTTCATAAAACTTAAGATTAATAAATATTTCTTACGCCATTTGTCACAAAAAAGGGACTTCTGGTTGATCTTTGTAGATTATTCCATTTCAGAGGTGATAGAACTGATTTATTTTATACAGAGTGTTTTGAAACATGTCTTAAATATGGCTAATTTTAAATTCAATTTACTCAATTTTGTCAAATGCAACACACTGTATATTATTTTCGCATAAATTTTTTTATAAAATTTACCTATCCAACGATACCAACATGTCCCAATAGTGCGTAATTGATCGATAGCTGTTTTATTATTGGAAATAGGATTAACAAATTAATATAAAAGTTGTATGACCATGTTTAATAAATATTCTTAAATATACAGGGTGGTCCATAAACGAGGGGCTGACCAAACTTATACTTTTTTATATTTGTTTTTACATCGTCAAATAACTTTAATAGACTTCATTTATTTGCTATGTTGTACATAGGATGTTTCAAAATGAGGGGTAACGATTTTCTCATTTTTATTAAATGGAATACCCTATATGTCATAACACCAATTAATTAATACAGGGTATTCCATTTAAAAAATTGAGACAATCGTAACCTCACGTTTTGACTCATCCTATATACAACATAGCAAATGAAGAAGTCAATTAAAATTGTTTGGCGATGTAAAAACAATGAAATATGTATTACTACCTGCAGGGTATTTTGCTTTAAAAAAGTATAGATTTGGTCAGCACCTCGTTTATGGACCACCCTGTATATTTAAGAATATTTTTTAAATATGGTCATACAACTTTTATATTAAACATTTCTTCGTATTTCTAATAATAAAACAACTATCGATCAATTATACACTGATAGGACACCCTATATATGTGTTATTTACTAACGCACTGGTATTGTTACATGGGCAAATCTATAGGGAATTTTATGCCAAAATAATATAAAGTGTGTTGCGTTTGAAAAAATTGAGTAAATTGAACTTAAAATTAGCCATATTTTAGACATGTTTCAAAACACTCTGTATAGAATAAACCAGTTGTATCACCTCTATTCGTTAGCTTAGTATTTTCTAAGTCTGTATATTAAACAATTTTGAAATTAATGTAAACCTACCTAAATTATGATAAATTAATTTGGAGTCTACATCATTCTCTAATTAAAAAAAAAAATTGTTTGGTAACACTATTTTTTAAAAACACTCTATCGTTAAATACAGTATTTTCAAGCCATTCTAAAAATAAAATAAAATATAGGGTGTTCTATTTAAAAAACATACATTTTTATTTGTCAGGCAAAAACGCAACACCCGGTATATCCAAAAATAATTTTAAACTATGTATTATTCAAATCCATATAACATTTATTAAAACTTGTTTGCTTGTCAATAACACAAATTCAAATATTGAACAATTGCAAACTAATAGGACCCTGTATATAAATTTTAATTTTCAATTTGCAGGAATATTATTATTTTAGATGACAATGTTTGAGAAACTTTGTTTTATTCTATTTATTTTATTTCTCTATTTTTGTTTAATATAACGTTTAAAAAAAATATTGATGTTGACTATGGCTTGGGGGCTAATTACCCCCATTACCCCCCTTATCTACGCCCTTGTAGAGGAGATTTAACATTACATGTACTTGGAGTATTTAAATAAATCATCCAAAAAACCATATCTTAGATTTATTTTAGTCGCCCACTTTTGTAAAGTTTAAATTCCCAGTAAGGGATACTTTAGAGTATTATTTCTGAGGTAAAGGTAGCAAGCACCTTTTACTCAAATATCTTATCGTAAATGGTTTACTCTTACTTCTCTACTCCAAAAGGCCTTTGTTTTCTTCTTTAAAATGATTTGTAACTATGTACTTTTTACTAAAAACTTCCTGTAGCAAACCATTTTTTTAATGTACCTAAGTTCTTTTAGTAAAGTCCTTTGACTTTTCTTGTTCTCGGTTGTGTTTAATGCTTGTAAGAAACCATCTCATCTATTTTTAAATCCAGGGTGGACAAAGTTGCAATTAATTTAATAATAGTGAATGATATTTGCAGAATAATACATGAGCTTTTAATTTCAATTTAGGCTCGGTCCCTTTCTTCAAATGATTTTCATGTATAAAAAATTGTTTGTCAACAGCAACACTACAACTCGTTTCAGGCTTGCCAAAATTTCAAAATATTTCAGGATATAAACAAAGTGTGATCCGAATTTGGCTCGAAGGCCGTACCCTAACTCAAAATGTTTGAAGCAAACCATTCACACAAAAATATTTATCTTTATAATTCAAATAAAAAGTAATTCATTTGAAATTTTATGAAAATCATTACATCATTTTCCCTTGATGTTTTATAGCTTATCTTTTAAGTAATCAAACTACCGATATTATAATAAATCTAACACTAGAACAAAGTTTAAAAATTAATAAAAAAAATAAACACCACTAAATAACAATAAAATATTAGACTTTTTTAAAAAACTAATGTACGATATACAGCAGATCTCGATGATGTCACATTCCTGTCCATAGCTACTTGACGAGACCAGCGTTTTGTCTACGAAAAGTGCGGGGTGGCGCCGTTTTAATTGACTTCCTACGCTTAGGCGTCCCATCCGCCACTGGTTGTTCCAGAACTCTTCCAGAACCTTTAGAGCATGCGCAGTAGATATTCGCTGTGTTGGTTTCGCCAGAACTAGTTCCGAACCTGTAAGTTCTGAGTTGTGGTTTTTCTTGGGAATGGTTCCATCAGGGCTGGTATATCTCCAGCCCTGGGTTCCATAACGCTTTTTGCAAGTAGTTTCGTTTTTGGGATCCTGGCCACTTTTTGTGTTAGAATTTTTACGAGGAATTTTGAAATGACGAATGAGAAACGAGCAGTTAATCAGTTGATGGTGGGTTATAAGTTTTTTTATGAATAAATTATTTAATTTATCTACGTTTTACAATATTATATGGCCTCTTTCTTACTTAGACACAGGGAGAGTATGTTATTTCTTCTTTTTTAATTATAATTTACTTTCGACATTTAACGGTTCTGGCAGTGTTTTGGTTTCGAGTAAAAATGGAATGGTTACACAACTGTTCAGAGTTAAGGACCACTATGCAATAGTTCTGCGAATGATTCTGGAACAATTCTAGAACGTGAACCAAAACAAACCTACTACTTTGAATTTATAATATTTGTTGATTCATTTAAAAATCGTTTAATTTCGAATGCTACTGAACAATGTTTAATTCAATTCAATTTAAAATGGATTTCATATTTTGTTGTGATTAAATATCACATATTTTGATAATTGTAAAGAAACTCTCTCATCGGCAGTAAAAGTACTTACTTTTCCTCCACTGACAATGTCAAACAGACGAAATTTACCTGTATAAAATTAATAGTATCTAATTATCAAACACTAATTTACATTTTCCTTCTTCTAATAAAAGTTTTACAAATATCAGGTCACGTTAAATTGGAACTCACCCTGTAGGTACATATATATTTTATAATCATAATCTAGATAGTTTATTAGACATAAAGGCTGACCTACTTACCCGATCTTCCGACAAACTCCTTGCACCAGCTTCTAAAATATAACTTTTCTCGTTCAATCCTCCGGCCGCCAACATATTGTAATTTTAAATAATTTCCGAAATTAAATACTTAACACGCCATTCCCCAACTGAAAAATCCTATTTTCGATAGCAAATGAGCAGATAATGACAGAAATAAATGCATTTTGTTAAGATATTTTTTTCTGGATAGCAGGACAAATTCCGGGGACAAATAAAGCCGATTCAGTTATCATGGGACGGGACTGAATTGTGAATGAAATAGGATCTTCGAGTGTTAATATCGATTTCTTTATTACGAACAGAATCATGCGCTAAGTTCGGGAAAATTACTGTGGCGTACGAGGGACGGATGAAAAGCCGGAAGGAAGTGAATTTATAAAGTTAGATAGGTGTATCAGATAAAATAAGAGAGATATTTTAAAGCGATATACTTAAATGATAAAAATATATTGTGGTATTTTATTTTTGTTTACATGGATAGATAATCTTTATATTTTAATATTTTATTATTATTGCTATGTGATTTATATGGTTAAATTTTTACTCTCCAGTAACATGTAGGGAAAGTATAGAAATCATGATTTTTTTCCACCTCGAGTTATCGACTATTTTTACATGTTATATAATATATTTATTTTGAAAACACTGTGTTTATTTATCTTTTAAGGTGCTAAATCGTGGATAGGACTCTTATGCAGTTAAGGGCTCGAAACAAGTAATATTGCTTAAACCATAGTTACCTGTTTTTTCGTATTAATTGATTAACTCCCTGGAACATAGTGTTATCCTGTCTTAATTAATGAACCACAGTAATTCAAATAAATTGTGACTCAGTCATCCCTTGTTATACAAAGAGCATAATATGGCAATTTTATGGCAATAATAAATCCTACAGTATATTTTAAAATATTCCAAATAGATTCATATATTATCCATTTATATCCAAAATTAAATGATAACATTTATAAATGGAAGATTGCGTTTATTTTAAAACTCGACGAACTAAGAATTGTGTAATAGGCCAGAAAATAGACTAGATTTACCTATGAAAAATTATAATAAAGCTAAAAATTGATATGGTCCAGTTCGATGTCCTGATGATCCCTTTTCAATTATTGCTCTCGAGATATCCGACCCATTTTCGTAGGAGTGTTTTTTTAAAAAATCGCATTTTGGACAACATTACGCAAAGGGCTGATCTGAAATAAAAAAATCTTGTCCAGTCTTTATCTAGAGGATATTTGTAACAAAAAATCTGGGAGAATACTACCCTAGTACATCCCTACAACCACCGAATGTCCGCAACTGCAAGACTTTTCTAGCACATCTCATAGAGGTTACAAAGTGAAGTTCGGATAAGATCAACACTAGGAGTTTTACAGTACGTTCCCCAGAAAATTGTTCTGGGACGTTTTATAGATGTAATAATGTGAGTTACTTCTACAGCATTATACAGTGTGTCCACGGATGGACTTAATTATACTTTACTTTAAATTAAAAAAAAATTAATTCTTTATAATTTGTTTTACTTGTTAAATAAATACGATTCACGTTGAGATATTATGAAAAATGACTTTTTTTAATTTAAAATAAATATTTTTGGAAGTATAGTTAAATCAATCCGTGGAGCCACTATATTGTTGTTTATGTAACGTAATACTGAAGGCTAATACTGAACTTGAGAATATAGTAAAATCTCAAAGAGGTATGGAAATTTCAAATAAAACAAAATATAAAATAATTATATAAATTTATTATTAAAATGTTCTTGAAATCAAGTACCAATATCACAAAAGTAGAGATAGGTATTAATAATATAGATATAACCCAATTACACATGTGCGATACCATAAGCTATCTATGCAACAATGACCAATTAGACAAAAGTAGATATAAAGGGTATATAAGGAATATCTCAAAGGTTCACTAGAATCTAAAACACTGAACGATTTCACGAAAGATTATACTTCCTATATTTCAAAGGTTCACTAGAAGTTTAAACGGTAAACAATTGTACAAAAGTAGTTAAAAAGTGTATTTATATAAGATAAAGTATATTTCAGTTTCAATATTATTCAATAATATATTCAATAATATTCAACAAGAATATAAATAAATTTGCTAATTATTTAATTGTAGAAATGCAGATCGACTTTCACAAAAAGAAATATATCAAATAAAATTTACATGGACATCAAAATTCATATAAAAAAATAAGCGATCTCATTTACTTTTAAAAACACTTAAAATTATCAGATAGATTTTATGCCTGATTTGAACCTTCGTACGATAATTTTATGTATGGCGTCGGCAATTTAACGAGCGAAAATAAATTAAAATTAAACCTGAGTTACAATCCGTGGTTGTAGGTCACAGTTTTACTCAACGAGTAGACTTCTAATGAAAATGAAGGTAAAATTGATTTAGGTGTGGGAGTCGAGACACAGACGCTTCACAATTCGACTCAACGAGCCGACCTCTTATCAATATAAAAGTGAGGAAGATCCTTACATACTCCAATACTTTGACTGCCAAATATTCGCTCTCTAAACAAAACGAAATTCTGTTTTTTTACGAGGCCCTTACATGAGATATAAGTCAAACTTTTAAATAATTACTTTTAAAATTTCCAACAATTAAAAAATTAATTTACTTTTCCATAGAACAAAAAATTATTAATAACAATATGAAATTCCAGCATCATAAGAGGAATCAATAAACATATTAAATAATTCAGAATTGATTCTCAAAAACTAAACTAATAATTAGATAAAAGGTAGAAATATAACGACTAATTAGATTTTTCAATGACATTAATAGACTTACCGCTTTATTGCAGTCTAAGATACTGGTTTTCAGGTCAATGATTTAATTTGAAATGAAATGTAGAGGAAGGATCTCAGATCCCTTAACGCCAGATTTCCAAATAAATCTCCCACTACGTGAAACCCCTCTCTCTTAACAATTTTTCGTGCGTCGACAATTAAACTTCATAAATCATTTTAATACCAATTCATTTACTAAAAAAAAATCATTTTTAAAAAGTGATTTTTAGAATGTTACAGTCTTGTCATCGTACATCTGACATATCGCAAAATAGTGTTCTTGTCGTCTCTACTTTATTCTATCTCAATGATCGCAACTCTAAAAATCGGTGCAGAAAGGATATTTATGTTTAATTCTTCATTTGAAATTTAAATGATTTAAATTAAACATAGATAATTGACTAAACACATTTACATAATCTACTTGTATAAAAAAAATCCAGATAAATAATTATGTTACTACACACATATATTTTTCTTTGTGTGTATATTGATAAAAACTCTGATATTACTCTTTATGAACATTGTTTATTAATATTTTACTAGTGATTACGGCTTATCGATTAAATTTTTCTTTTTGTTTTTGATAAAGCCATAACAGGCTAAAGCAAATATTTCTTGATAAACAGCATTACATTTTACTTTTAATTATTATAAATTTTTATTATCGCATGGTAATGTAATGACTAAGAAATAGGGGATTTCCATTCATAAATAATTATTTATTTAAAAGTAGTGTAATTTATTAATAATATTAAATGTAATGACTAATGGGTGCCCTACTCTTTCCGATATGGCCTGCAGGCTAAAATGCACAGTTCTGATCTAAAGGCAAGATTTATCAGCTCATTTCACTCTTCATCTTCACATTAAACAAAATAGAACAAAAGAGGAGAGTCCAGATGTAAATCAGATCGAGCACTTCACGTTGAGTTATGAACTGAATCGATGAACTGTGCGGTTCAAATCTCACAAAAATCGTAGCTTGTAGTGCCTCTTTAATGGAAGCCCTACTCAATCCAATTGCACAGTTCTGATCTAAAGGCAAGATTTAATCAGCTCATTTGACTCTTCACTTCACACTAGACAAAAGAGGACAAAAGAGGAGATGCCAAATGTGAGTCAGATCAAGCACTTCACGTTGAGTTATGGACTGAATGCATGGAGACTGTACAGTTCAAATATCACTCAAATTTCATAAAAATCGTATCGTGTAGGGCCTCCATAAGAATTTGTACATGCCGAAGATAACTCGATGATCAATGATCGATAGGCGATGGTATGTACTGTCATTTAAATTAGTACATTTGTTTATTACATACCCTTAAGGAATATTGAAGTGGATTAGGTTCTATTAGATTTTAAGTGAGTTGAGAAAATAGCTTATAGACCAGAGCATACTGGCGCATTCGTTTGCAAAATTGTTTTAATTCGGAATTTTTTTTAAAATGTCCTGAAGGCTTTCCTGATTATAAAAGTGTAAGATGACACTCGATATTTGTTGATGTTATTGTTTAAACAACGAAAAATTAATTAATTTTTTGCAATGAATTAATTTTTTTTATATTTCTTAGAATATTTCGAATAAAAAAAGTCCTTACGCCCATCATCGTATCTTCAACCCTTTAATTGTTATGAATTTTTTAAAATCCAAAATTGACGAAAATTCTAATTTTCTTGAATTAAATAATTTACCTTAAAATTTAAAATGCCATAATTTTAAATTTTTTACCGAATATTCAAACTATAATAAACAAAATTACCTAAATAAATTTTCAAAATTTTGTTTGTTGTTATGTTTTTTTTACGCTATAACAATATGCTTCCTATGCGCCACGATGCCACGAAAAAGATTGTTCACTAGTATTTTCATTAAACAACAAATTAAATCGCACAGTCACGTTATCGTTTCGACGAAGAGTTGCATTTTTTAATTTTAAATATGTATCAGGTTTCGGACACTTCACTAACGCCTCGCCATGATCACAAAATAAACACTTTTTGTCGTCAGATAATTATTTTTTTTTTTTTTTGAATTAAAGAGAACGACATTATTACTCAGAAAATTACACGACTGCAAAGTAAACCAGTAGATGTAGAATCGAGCAAGACTGATTAACAACTGAAAAATAATTTTCAAAACGAGCCAAAAATTCTAAGGTAGGGTTGAATTTTCTATTTGGAAGGTTGTAAAAATTGTTTATGAAAAAAAAAATAGAAGAAGAGTTAAACGTACAATTTTTTCAAAATACGAAATAAGTCCCTTTACCTATTTGTATTCATAGGGCAAAAGATTGAAAGTCATAAAAAAAATTCATATTTATAGTACTTACAAAAACATTTTTTTTTCTTATTTTTATTAAATGGAGAAAGGCTTGGATATTTTAGAAATCATAAAATTTTATAACCCCAGTAAGCCTACTATGTTCATTGTAACAAGTAGAAATTTTTCAT